TCCCTTAGGGTCCCAAGATGAATTCACTTACCCTTGCTCACTCATCCTAATTCAGCCAGCCCATCATAAACATGCACATTCATTTCCCTCCCCATGTGACTTCCCCGCGAGCCTAAGCTTTTACACCACACTCAGCTTTACTGTGACAAAACATTTTTCAGGACTGAGAACTCCCTCCGTGCAACTCTACAATACTATATAAATTTGAATGACCTAAAATAAAAGTACCAACTACAACTATACCGCAAACATGACCACGAAAGGCACAATGACTTCGTCCAATAGGCCACAGAAGGAAAACATGGTGAAGGGCATTCTATTTTTCTTAAAAAATGAAACCATATTAAATAGCATATACATATATCAAATATGCCAGTAATGGCCAACTTAAGATTTTTTCCCAAGACTCCACAAATCAATCTTCCTAGTCTTCCAATCCCAAAGTACTAGTCAACACATCTGAAGGGCTCAGGCATCTTCATGTAATGAGCATCTCCCACGTGCCAGACGCCATTAGGCTTTGGGAGGGAGAGCTCTTCACACTTAATACTTCTGAGAGTCAAGAGACGGTGGCAGCTCTGTGAGGGGACCATCTTCTTGCCATCGGGGCAAGGTGATGGGCAAGAAAATAAGCCAACCTGGTGAAAAAGAAGAAAACACAAAAGAAACACAACCGTAGTTATCACAATGGCGGCCTCATTCTCCCTAAGAGCTAAATCAGTTTTAGCAAATTTACTGTACATTAGTCCCTGGCTCCTAATGGGTGCTTAAAAAACAGGGGTCGGATAAACAAATGAAAGAAAGTGGAAATCTGTCCCTAAGCCTTGTGAGATCTTTGACAGAGGAGGCCTCTGGGGTCAAGGCAACGCTTCCTGCTGAAACAAGCACCGAACTACAATTCTAGTCATTCTTTGGAGATGCTGGCTATTGGAACACGGTGATTGCGAAACCATGATCCACAGTGACTACACCTGAGCTCAGCCCAGGACCCGCTGGATTTGAGTCACAGGGCGATCAAAGCCAGCAGGACTTATTCAAAGACTTTTTTTTTTTTTTTTTTGCATATTGCGAAACCAGTGTGTGCGTATGTTTTCCTTGGTGAAGATTCATCTGTGATTATAATCAGAACTGACACCTGTGAAGCGGGTAAGCGGCCTTCCCCAGCCTCTCCTCTTCCCTTCACAGGGCTCCAGGCAGCCGGGGCGCCCAGGGCAGGGTTTAGGGCAGGCTTGTGAGCGCAACAGACCTGGCCTTGAGTCCTCATTCCACCGGTTACTCTGTGACCTTGGGCACAGTCCTCAGCACGGTCTGATCGCCTGTGGAAAGGAGCTTAGCAGCACCACCTACATCGAGGTTGCTGTGTGGATTAAATGAGATCAAGCTGGAAAAATCCTCCACTAGAGCATCCGACACAGACACATTTCGAGCCATAACACATCCCAAGCCTTGGCTTTTTGTAACTTAAAGCTTAATGGGGGAAAAACAAAGTTACCAAATAAAGAGGGAAGTTGACTGTTTAAGCTTGAAACTTCGGTTTTATAAAGAAATGGCCCCTCCTTAAAACCTGTTATACTGATTCTCTTTCCAAGAAGTTCCTATTCTGTAATCTGAGTATTCATGTGCCAACCCCAGTTCACTTTCCTATCAGACAAGCATGAGCTCTTTCCTTTAGTACAAAGCATATGCATAGGGTTCCAGGATGAACGCTTTGGCAGCTGGACGAAGAAATGAACATGTTCGCAAATAGAAGAAATTAAGTAATCAAACACACCCAAGTCAGGAAGTTTTAAGATTTTTTTTTGGACAAGGTAAAAAACCCAAACAGAATAAAAATTCAGTTGACCTACTAAAGAGAAATAAAAATCTATTCAGTCAGTACGTATAAAGTGCTCCCTGTAGACAAAACGTGTTCATTTGTTGTGTCGACCAAGATTTTTTAAGGCTTATTTTTATTGATTTTGCGAGAGAGACAGAGAACAAGGAGCGGGGGGATGGGGTGGGGGGTGGAATCCCAAGCAGGCTCCACGCCGTGAGCGCAGAGCCCGATGTGGGGCTCAAACTCACAAACCATGAGACCTGAGCCGAAGTCGAGTCAGACTTTTAACCGACTGAGCCACCCAGGTGCCCCTGGACCAAAATGTTTTAAGGAACACAGAGGCCCACAAGACCTGAAAGGAGGTCCTTGCTCTGAAGCACAGCAGGTATATAATTATAATACAAAGCAGGTGATAAGAGCTATTAAGAGACGTAGAAGAGAAGTACTACAGGAAGGGGTAGAAATTCTAAGGGTTTGAGGAAGACCTGCTAAGAGATGGCATTTGAGGCACTATTTGGGGGTAGAGTTGAATTTCAAGAAGCAGATCTGGGGAACCGGAGAGGAGACCATTCCTTTGGAGGAGAGAGCACGAATATCGACATCTTGTGTCCATTATGGGAGAAGTTAACATTGCTAGTATAAAAAAACGGAAGAAGAAAGCTTGGAGAGGTTGTTAGTCTTGAGAAAGTTGAATGAGATATGCAAATCTAATGAACAATGGTCAGGAAGTTATTCAAATACCTTTAACTTTATAAGGTTCCTTATGACCGTTCTTATTCATTGTATTCTTCCCTGAGAAGGTAAGCAATTATTTTTGAGTCATAATTACAACGTGGAACGAAATGACAAGAACTCTTAGGAATTACCTTGTGATTGAAGCGCTTATTCAGCAACTCTATTACCTGCATTTTGCAGGGAGTGGTTTTGCAACCTCTTTCCTTATAACTGAAGGAGAAGTTGACTGTTAAGCCATTTCTAAGTTTTGCTCTACTTCCCGCATCATCTCTGAGTCTTTTCTTGACCCGGGAAGCATTCGCTCATAGTTGTTTCTCAAGAAGTGGAAAACCTGACCTATCAACTTTTAGACATCACTCTATAAGCAGGATGGGAATCTTGTGAATTGGCACCTCAGGTTACTCAATGAGATCATGCCATACAAGAGCACAGGAAACAGAACCCAATGTCAGCAGGCTTGTGTCGTTCATGTCACACACTGAACAAATTATTGTGATAATGTGAAGTTGATGAATTCTTCCCCCACCAACGCAGAAAGAAGCCCCTTGGGCAACAGCATCTGAGGGGACCAGGAACAACCTGCAGTAGATTAAGAAGTGTGCTGGGCTACATGGACAGCAACGGTAAAGAGTCAAAAGAAACAGAAGCACAGTAAGGCTGGCTCCTAAAAGGGAAGGAATAATGAAATAATATAATGACATAAATAATAATAATGAAATGAAAAATCAAATACCTGACCCATATTCATAGAGGGTAGAAGCTGTATAAACTTGACAACAGCGGCCATGTTTAGTTTGGCCCCCACAATGCTTGATGAAGTAGTTGGCCAACACTGAAGATGAGCAAGATTTCACTGAAAACTCGAGACTATCGGCATTTCTTAAAGAATTTGAAGACCTGGCAACAATGGGTTTGTGTGGCTGCTTGGCAGCTCTAGGCTGTCCCCTTGGCTGTCTACCTTCTACCTGGCTGGCTCCCTCAGGCATTTGTGTGGGCAATTCCTGAATGCGATTTCAAAAATCAACCCACAGTTAGTCAGCACACCTATTTTCATAGTCTTTCTTAATTTGGGAAGATGGCAATGCTGATTGGGTATTTTATATATTAATCAAATCCAGTTAGGCAGACGATCTCACTTATGATTCAGGATTACTTTACAAACATGTATATGAAAACAGGACAAAGTGAAACCTGCATGGAGTGATCAAAAGATAAGCAAGGTAAGAGACAGTGGACTACGTCTCGGCAGCTCAAACCAGTCTGTCTTTAAATAAGATTCAAACTAAAATTGGACGGAAAGATTTTAACTTTAGACAAGAGAGACAAGTATCAAAATGAAGGCATAAATGCAGATTTTAGCCGAACTGGTCAGTTAAAGAGAACTTGGAAAAAATGTATATACTATACATACAGTAAGTACATATAGTATATGTACATATATATATACACACACACAAATAATGCAGGAAAAAAAAGTAAATAAGTGAAGACAGAGCTAAAGAATCATTCAGTATTTACATCAACCTGCCACATTAGCCAAATGTCCACTGAAAACATAAGTTCTTAACCAACAGCTATTTATTTAAATTACTTTTAAATTATCTTACTAAACTCAGTGCTAGATCACTTTAAGAGCAAGTTTCTTAATTGCACAAAACATTAATAAGCAGAGTCCCTTAAACAGCACTCCATTGTGATAAAACTGCTGTCATACGTGGTAAATAAAAAGGGAAACAGAATTTTCCTGTCACTTTGTGTTGTGAAGCACGGAGAAAACAATCATCTGCTTTTAACCGGCAAAGTATCAGAACTGAAATTTACGAGTCTTCGAAATTAAATAAAGACGCCGGCAGTGTAGTGTGACTTTTCCCCAATGTGTTCAGCACCGCCCCCCCCACCTCAGCATGCCGGCATTCCGCCTCCTGCAATTTCTGTGGGAGAGGATGACAACGCATCATCACGCTAATACTATGTTCGTTCCACTGCTCCAAAGGACGCCGTGTTAGGCTACCAAAGCCGTGACACAGCTTTTGCCCCATCCAAGGACGTCCTGAGCCCCGCAGGCCAAATGCTCCCGGGGAAGACCGCAGTAGCGGTCAGTGTGGCCACCTGTCCCTGGCTACAGGCGGGCCGCTCTGCACGGATGCTCGGCGAGTCCTAGCTCCCTTTGGGGGTGGAGTCCCCCTATTAGTAGCTGATCCGGCTCCACCACCGAGGCCGGCGCTGCTCAACTCGGCCGCGGGGGTCGAGAGAGGCCGCGGCTCCCCAGGCCCACGCAGGGCAGCTCCAGCGTGGCAGGTCCCGCTCAGGGAACCTTGGCCTCCACCCCTGCCTAGCGACTGGGGCTCGGGGTCGAGGGAGGCGCGGGATTGGAACGCGACAGCCAGCCCCGAGGTCCACGGGATCCCGCCCCGGCTCAGCGCCTCCTCAAATGTCACCCTGGGCTCACCAAAAAGCGCGTTGAGCTGGTGCCCTGGTCCACTGCCCCCACCAATGGCCCCAAGACTGCTTTCTTCGCGGCTGCCATGAAACCAGCTTCGGGTCAGCGGGCTATCGCGGCCCGTTTCCCGGGAGACGGCGGCGGACGGGGGAGGGGCAGGCCGGGAGCCGGGAAGGCGAGGCGGCGTGCAGCGGCAGGACGCTCGGATCGCGCTCCGGGCAGCCCCTTTACCCGCGCGGAACCTTCTCACCCCGCCCCTTCGGCCCAGTCCCCGCCTCCGACCGCGTTCCCCATGACTCCGGGGGCGTGGCGGGGGGGGGGGCGCTGCCTGCCGGGCCAGCCAATTACCGAACGTGGAAAGAGGCGGAACGTTCCGACAATCAGAGGGCGGTGAGACGTCACGGGGGCGGGGCCTGGGCGCGGCGGAGGCGGTGGCCCGCGCAGCAGGTCACGTGGCCTCCTGCGACCGCTGAGCCGGCCTGCCGCAGGGCCGGGGGCGGAGGCGGGTGCTGCCCTTTGGCGGGGAGCGCCACTGGCCCGTGGAAAGGGCACAACCCCCAAGCCGTGCCCTGCGGCTCCCTCCCCTGAAAAGGTCCCAGAGTGCAGGACTGCTTGTTCCCGCGGTGGGCTGTGCGGAGCACGGCGTGAGTCGCCCCTTAGGCTTCCCCGGCCGGGCCTTCCCGCGCTTCCCACGCCCCTCCCACCTCCCCTCTCCTGGCCCTGGATAAGAACTCCGCGGAGGGAACCGGCCTCACGTAGTGTGACCTCCGCGCTGCTAATCCCTCATCTTTGTACGCTTTTCAGGGACAAGGAACGCGGAAGTTCTTTCGGTTTAGCATTTAAGGGAAGAGCGCAAAATCAACCTCGGGTCCCTCAATTGACAATCTGGCATCCGGCAACTCCCTGTCCTGAACCGCCCTTGCTTCTCGCTTGACCTCACTCTGGTGTCCCCTCCCTCTCACGCCATTTCCTCTCCCTCCATTAACTGCTCTACATTGCAAAGGGAGAGAGGAAAGGGGCTCTTTCATTTGACCTTGAATTTGCCTTGCCAGGATCCTTTTGAGTCCTGTGTTTTGGGAGCCTTTCAAACTTTGAATGAAGACCCACTGTGAGAAGTAGTTTACAACTCCAGGTGTGTGTGTGCGTGCACGTGTGCATAAATGTATGTTATATGTAATACACATATATGGGCATATATTTACGACATGTTTACATTGTTGAAAAATATTCCCAAAATAATTTATCCTCCCATGCTATGCGTTCTGTATTGCTTTATTCTATTGCATCTCATTTTATCTACTGAGTAAAGGAGGCAAAACTGAAACAACAAGGCCTTTATTGCGGGTCTCAGAATTGCAGTTCCGCTGTCCAGATTCTCATGGACTCAGAAGAGGTATTGCTCGTGTGGGGAAAGCAAGGGGTTTTTATGGGAAAGAAGGAAGGGGTGATTACATGATTTGAATAAAAGAAAAAAACTGCTTTGGTGCTGACTGGTGGAGCCACTTCTCATTACTCTCTTATTGATTATTTTATTGGTGCTATCCAAACTGTCCCCAGTATGTATTAATTAACTTTGAGGTCTGAATGTCAGTTGCTCTGTTTAAACTTTATGATCAACTGCTTGTAAAACAATTGCTGTTTCTGGTCTAGTTCAAGAGTTCCTCAGTTAGGAAGAAAAATGGACCTTCAAAAGGGAGAACCTTATGTCCAGAAATTTTACACAATTCCACAATTCCCTTTTGATTAAGATTTTTTTTTAAGAAAAATATCACAGATCAATATTGTTCCCTGGTAGCCAGAGTTTAAATGTTTTGTTCTGGACCTCAAGTAAGAGGTCTGCTCCATATCTCATGAACCAGTCTTACTCTTGAAAATAAGTCAGTTTCGGGGGCGCCTGGGTGGCTCAGTCTGTTAAGTGTGGAATCTCAACGTCTGCTCAGGTCGTGATCTCACAGTTTGGGAGTTTGAGCCTCTGTGGCTCTGCGCTATCAGTGAGGAGACTTCTTGGGATTCTCTCTCTCCCTCTCTCTCTCTCTCTCTCTGCCCTCCCTCATCATGCTTGCTCTCTCAATAAATAAACAAACAAACAAACATTAAAAAAGAAATTAAGTCATTTCCGTTCAACAGTTGTGTCTCATTTCGGGAGGTGGTCTTGCAAGGGGGTTCCAAAAATTAGGGCCATATTGTGCAAGCAATCAGGTAATTAATAAGAGACATCTCTATGGAAACAAAAGAAAAACAAAGGTTAATGGTTGGAGCATATTATAAACCCGGTGTCTGCATCCCGAGTGCTGCCAGTGAGAAGATTTCTAGACGTCAGGCTAAAAGCCTCTCCAGAGGGAGTGAGGGCAGGCAGTAGCAACCTGACAGATATTCCTGGTCTGCAGTAGTAATGTCTCTGGTGAGCTCTCTGAGTGGCCCATATAGCAACAGGCACGAAGACTATCTAAACATGGGCTGATGTGGCAATTCCTCCGAAGTTTATCTCAAGTTGTCTAGCTTCAGTCTGCACAGCTTCAGGAAAAATGGCAATTACAGTGCTCAGTCTTTCCAAGTGAAAAGAATGAAAGACAATTGGAAACCTTCGTTTGGAGAGTCACAGCCAGATATTTGAGGAAACCAGAATTCAGGATACGGCCCAGTTTTGTAGGGAAACAACAAGCTGTCAGACAATCAGAACTGGTATCCAACATCCACACATGTGTGTCACGGAAATAAATGTTTTTCTCTTTTTAAAAAGAAAACCACAGGCCCAAAATGGTGTTACTTAGGCTGAGTTCCCAAACTGGGGCTTCGTTCCGAATTTAATTGCAGTTTCAACCTCTCCCAGAAACGTAATCTTAACTGGTCAGTCAGGGATTTTCCAGATCAGCCCACTGCATCTGTCCAATGGGGCCTCTCAATCCTCCAAAGGAAGAGGAGGTAATCTACATGATAAGACCCCCTTCACCTCCCCCCTAAGGCAAAGTAGCCTTGCCTGGAAATCCTTTTCATTTATTAGTAACTTGCTGGCCCCACCCTCCTTCCTCTAAACAGGGTCTATTTTGTATACAGTTACTCAAAGCTTCCCTCTACTTGTTAGATGGGATGCTGCCTGACTGAGGAATCATTTAATAAAGCCGATTAGATCTTCAGATTATTTCAGTCGGATTTTGTTTTTTTAACACTCTCTAAAATCACCATCATCTCCACCAAACATAGCCAAATGAATACTAATTTGTAAAATAAGTCCAATTTCAACACCGTGGCCTGATTATTTTCAAAAGTGTAGCAAGAAAAGTGATTGATTATATAGGTTCTTTTAAATCTGCTTTGCTGGAACTTTTCATAAGGAGTTTGAGACTGAACTTTCAACAGCCTCTCCAAGCTAAGGAAACAAGCCAAATACTTGCTTCAGACTTCTTTGTCGTTAATAGCTATGGATTTGGGTGAATCCTCCCTTTTTGAGGTCCCCCAAATATCCTGAAGTTCGTGTGCCTGCCCGGAAGTGACCTTCCTTACTGATCTGGGAACCCTGTAAGCAAAGTATCGAGATGGTTTTTTTCAAGGGGCGTCATTGGCTCCATAAAGCCAACCTCCGTTCCTTAAAGCTGTCTGGTCATATCTGAGTCCATGCATGTCTCTCTGAAATACGACATTCCAGTCAGATCTTGGGTAATGTAATCAATGTTTGCAATGCTGTCCTGTTACAAGGAGAACAGATTCTTAGTAAGTTTATACAAATAACTATAATTGCCGTGAAAATAGGAATACTCACTGAGAGTTTCTGAATTCTGGAAGGATCAGGTAGGGAGGAAAAGATAAATGTTTCATATATGTTTACAAAGGAATAGTTTACCAAATTTCTGTAAGCCATAGATCGCTTAAGAGAGAACGTTTCTTTAAATCTGAAAGGGAAAACATTAGAAAACCAGCAATGTTTCAAACAAGAGTGATAAAAACTCTAATCATCTTCCTAAGTTTATTCAGGCCCAACTTATTAATTCTTGTTGTTTGAATCCAGTTTTCCTACCAGTTGCAGAAATTCTTATCCAGTTCAGTTTTATGATCTTAAGGTTATCAGAAACCTGTATTTATTTGTCAAAAGTCCTTTTCGTGAATCTCCTTGAAGCTGAAACACATCGGCAAGAGCATCAAGAGTGAAACAATAACTGTAAATGACAATAGACTCAAAATGGCCATGGTTAAAGATCTGATGAGAGTTCATTATAATACAATTGAAAAGGAAATTTGGTTATTTCTGTGACACACAACACTTTAGAATTACAAGTGATAACACTGTACCAGGACATATTAAAACTTAAGGGATTTCATATTATTTCCAGAACAGTTACATTAATAGCAATTCACCCATACAATATAACCTGAGAAGGTTTATCATCACTTACCTGACAATGCTTTGGTAATTTGACAATTCCTTTGGTAATATACCAGGTAAATAAGCCTACTTAGTCAAAAAGACTTCATTTAGAATTTGAATTTGGATAAGTTTGTTAAAAATATCAGAAGGTTTTTAAAGCATGTGTCTAAAGAGGATCACAGATCATTACAAAACTTAATACTTATCTATCATCCAAGGGGACAATAAGATTCTAAAGGCAAATAAAGAGGATTACAAACTCGTTAGCAAAACAGCTCTTTTATTATTGAGAAGATTCAGTTTCCTTAAATAATGAAAGACCTGATAAAGACAAAACAGAAACTTTGATTTTCTTACCTGGATTACATTAAAGACAAAGAAAAACCTTTGTTTATAATTTTATATTAAGAATAGACCAATTAAGGGGGGAGGGGGGATGGGCATGGAGGGGGGCACTTGTGGGGATGAGCACTGAGTGTTATGTGGAAACTAATTTGACAATAAACTATTTGTAAAAAAAAAAAAAAGAAAAATAGACCAATTAAGAAAACTTTGGTGGTTTAACAGCAAGAGAAAACCAGTTCTAATCTTGTACCGTTATACCTTTGACATTGAAACTCACCCATCCCAGTCATCGTCTTGATCCTGCCAAAAATTCTTTTCAAAGATTCCTTTTTCACAAACTTTCTACAATGTTCATTCTTACATTCATATTTTGTCTGTTTTCCCTTTTTGAATAACCAGCCTTGCTTTAGGACGAAACTTCTTTCTTTTCCCTCAAAACAAAAACAAAAACAAAAAACAAAAAACCACCACATCTCCATTT